ACCCCGCGCCGCTCCCCGCTGTGTTCTGTCCTGCGGCCTCACCCGGAGCTGGGCGGGGTGCCACGGCCCTGCCTCACCCGCCTCCCTGGGGATTAACGGGCCTCCCTGACCCAGAGTCAGGCGGTGCTGAGGGCTGTGGGTCCCGGCGCCGCCTTCAAAGTGGCCCGGAGGATTGTACGTGAGGCTGCTGAGTCGATGGGGGGGGTCTGCTGGTGCTGGGGCAGTAACTTCAAAGTTATTGTGTATTTCACCCTGTCAGGGATCACTGAGCCGAGCTCTTGCTGTTTGGGAGGGAGTTGAAGCTGCACATCCGAGTGTCGGTGTTGACAGTGTGGCCTGGCATCCTGAGGGGAAAACGGGGGTAAATCCATCGCCTTTGGGGTGATTTTTCCCTGAGTGTTAATGCTGATGGTGACAAAAGAGCTAATTGTGTTCATTTGACCAGGGCAAGATGGTGGAAGGAGTTCAGGGTCATTCTTATCCTGGGTATGAGTCCGAAGGGTTTGTCTTGTCTTGTCAGGAAACAGATGAAAGCTAATTAGATATATTGAATTTATAAACCACACAAAGACAATGCATTAGTTAGCTAAATCCATTTCTAAACTGCTGTTTCAGCTGTTACCCTTTTTTTCTTGTCTAGAGAAAATTCACCAGGTGTTCTAGTTCTGCCAGAAAGTCCTTTGGATGCTGTTCAGGGGTTTCTGAAATGTGGGTAAAGATACTGAACTTAGGGTTTTATTAGGCTTAAGTAAAAGCAGGTAAAGAGATTGGATACTGTGTGTGAGGAAAGTGCAAGTTACCACCACAAATGCCAACCTTTCACAGAAGGTTGAAAACTGTTATTGTGCCATGTAGCCTGGCTATGCAGGAGGAATGTCCTAAAATGTAAGTGAACTGGAATTTTTCTGCGTATGTTTTTGTCTCCTACATATTTCTGTCACCAGTAGATGGCTTTCTACCCGTTTGTATGTGTTGTTACTATCTCAAACCCCAGCATGCAGGCACAGCACTCATTTGAAATGGCCTCGAAATAGAAAGTCTGAGGCATAATTACACTACTTTAATCAACTGGACTTTAATCAACCTGAACAAAGAAGTGTTCAATTTACCAAAAGCCCAGTGAATACTGAGAAGATAATAATGTTCATATTATGGATTCATAAACTCTCTGTCCTCAGCAGTTAGATAAGACATAATCTTACCTAACAAATTACCATGTGTGTATGTAGGGATATACTGAACTTAGCCCTGCTCATGTCCCCAAAATGTTCATTCTAATGGCTCCTGCTTTGAAAAAAAAGACAAGAACAACCAAATCCTGTGCTTTGCCAAAAGGCTCAGAAGCCCCAAGGCGACAGGTACCTTGTAGTGACAGAAGCTGATACACTTCTGGATGAAGGCTGGCTCTGAATTGAAGACTGACGAGGGCATGGCTCTGTGGTTTGGTTCACAGAATCACGGAATCACAGAATGTTGGGGATTGGAAGGGACCTCAAAAGATCATCCAGTCCAACCCCCCTGCCAGAGCAGGAACCTCAATGAGATCACACAGGAAGGCGTCCAGGCGGGTCTTGAATGTCTCCAGAGAAGGAGACTCCACACCCTCCCTGGGCAGCCTGTCCCAGGGCTCTGGCACCCTCACCGTAAAGAAGTTTCTTCTCAAGTTTAAGCAGAACCTCCTGTGTTCCAAGCTGGTTCTCAGTTAAAAGCCCGCAGGGCTCTGAATGGGGCTCTCTGCCTGCGACTTCCAGCCTGGGGATCACCAGGGTCTTCCCGAGTGTTCACTGTAGCTGTTTCCATGGCCATTCTATAAACGACAGACTGATCTTGCAGGTAGTGCAGGAAACGCTCCATCATCCTTCACATGTCCAGAGACTCATCATTCTCTGGCATTGGGTTGGATTCATCTCTTTGTTGTGGGACATGGTGTAGAGCTGTAGCCTAACCAAGCTGAGAATCACCTTGAGAATCTCAACAAGACCTTCCCTGACCTTTAAATGAAGGGACTTGGGTCTAGGATGGATAGGAGCAATGAAAATAAATAATGGTTTTGCATAAACTTCAACATCCTACTCTTAGGAGTCCGTGTTCTTCTTTGCTTGCCATGGAGCTGAGAGAGAAGGCTCAGCAGCAGCTGAAGTACCACACGGATGGATCCCGGAGCGTTGCGGCGTTGGCAGCTCGGTACGTCTGCGTCCATCAGTGCTTCTTGAGTTCAGCCCATCTCAGTTGGGGTACGTTTGGGCTCCTGACATGCCACAGATAAGGAACTCTTCCTTGCTGACGCCTCTTGGGCTTTTTATCTCTCTAGAGTTTTTATTCCTACCCCCCACAGCTCCTTTTCTACTGGTTTGAGGTTACTGGAACCCTTTTATAGAAAAACCATTAATGTGTTTGCGCTGGATGTAGCCTCGTGCACAATGCCTGCTCATTACCGCAGCTTCCGACACAGCCTGCCCTGGCTCATCCTCTTTCTGGAAGCTCTTTTCATCGTCCTCTTTTACTTTTTCCCAGGTGATGGTGCATCCAGATCACACATTTCCTACCCAGGTAAGATCAGCAGCCTTGCTGTGAAAGGAAGGGTTAATGCCCACTTTTATTTTGCAGTGCAACAGAGATGGAATTGAGCGGGTTTGTGTGTTTGTTAGTCAGAAATGAATGTTTTTACTGCCCTTTCAGTACCCTACCGTGCCATGTACGGTGCATATTTACTTATATCAAAGCCAAGACAGCAAAGGAAGACATGAGTGATATTAAATTGCATTGCTGGTCTGTTTTCTGCTGCCTGTTTGTGGTAATTTTGGCTCCTATGAACGTAACAAACTTTGGAGGGCAGGCAGTGCTCTGTGTTCAGTGCCTGCCTCTTGTGAGGTCTTGGCATGCGAAGGCATCGTTGTGCTACAAAGCAAGAATTCAGGATGGCAGTGTTTTCTGTTTGAATGCTTGATGTAAATAAATGAAGTGAATGCAGTGGAATTAAAGGTTTAAATATATTCTGGAGATGTGTTTTGTGCGTTGATCAAAGGAATGTTTTATCAGATTAGGCTACGGCCATAATGTGTAACGTATTTACAGTGTTGTGCAAATATGAGCTGATTAATCCTCATTACATTCTTGTGTTACCCTCCCTGTTTTATAGCTTGAATAATGAGATCTACTTATTTGCAGTTTCATATTTTGCTGTACACAGAGCCCAGCACAACCATTTGAGAATATGACTGTTAGCATGTCCCAGGGGACACTTCCAGGCCTACAGATCCAAGAGCTTCTATCTTGTACAGCCTCTACCTTTTATGCAATTATGCTACTTTCCATATTAAACTCTTCCTACTGCTATTTCTGTTCCTTCTACCCAGATGAGGACATCATACAGGTTTCTCTTTGTAACTCATTTCTTCCCTAACACCCTCAAGGAATGAATCAGCACTAATTCACAGTAACTCTCCGTGAAAAGTCCAACTTAAGCTTTTTAAATTCACCTCAGGAAAAATAAATGTCCAAATTTCATTGGTAAATGTACTTCACTTCTGTCGCGCTTTATGACCTCTTAACCCCCATCCTGTGGCATCGATTCTGATCACTTTGTAAAAATAAATTCAGGGTCAAGGGAATTGTTTTTCTGATTACTTATGGATTGGAAAGCAAGCTCTGGAATTCTTTACAGGTACTAAATAATAATAATAATGGCACCCAAATTTTTATCTGAAGTTCTTCTTAGGTTTTTTTTGTTGGTTTTGGGGGTTTTTGTTTTTTTTTTTAAAGCAGAAATCCAGTCTGCATTAACAACTTCACCGCTGTCGTGGTCTTTTCTGTCATGCAGCTTTTCAAGATGTCAACCACATGGTGATTTTTGGATTTGGCTTTTTCCTGATGTTTCGGAAAAGATACGGGTTTAGCAGCACTGCATTCAACCTCCTGGTCATTGTACTTGGTGTCCAGTGCTCCATGGTGATAGAAGGTTTATTAATTTTCCTTCTTAAAATGGCCAACGAAGATCGTCTGAAAAGGTAATTAATTTGTGTTAGAATTGGATTAATCTAGAACTGCTGATTGCTCTTTGTGGAGGATAATACCTTGTTATATGGGCCTGTTGGCAAATTAGCACCATCATATTTACAGACATTTTAGAAGACTTTGGGGTTTTAAGTACATTTTACTGTGTCAGTCTGTCTTTGTTGGCCCTGGTGTGGTCCTGATACAAAATGATCTTTTTCTTTCTTTTATTGCAGAATAACAAAGGCTGCTGTGAGTATGACTGCTGTGGTCATCTCCACTGGAGCTCTTCTTGGCAAGATTAATCCTGTACAATTAATTCTGATGACAGTTGTGGAGATAATAGTTTTCCATGTGAGCAGATGGATCAACAACACATTCCTGCAGGTACAGTAGTATGATTTCCAGGCACATTGGGACTCTGGAATGTTGCCTTTTGATGGTTTGTTAGTGCTCTGCTGACAGGAACATCAGTGTGTTTTATCTCACCTAGATTGTGGCTGTGTTTTCATGAAGAGATGAACTCTGACTTTGAGAATAGACTTAAGCACATCAAACCCCAAACCCTGCATGGTCTATATCTATATAATTGGCTGTTTCTTGGTCTTGGAGGGTGAGATGATCTGATGGATTGGGATGTAGTGCATTTGGCCATGCTCATGCCCTGACCATCCCCAACACATGAATGAAAGCCTTGACCTACACTAAGGCACTAACTGCCTTTAAACTGTATCCCCTCCCTGTGTCAGTTCAGCCTGGAAGATTTCCAGTATGGATGGTTTTACCAGCCCAGTCTGGGCAGCAGAATCAGCCCTGCATTTAATGTACAATGTAAACATACCCCAAACTCTCTGTAAATGAATTGTGTGTTTATGAGCTGCATTGAATTCAGATAAGTTAATCTCACACAAATAACTCACACAGAAACTAAGGGACTGTGAAAATAAATTTATTATAAGGAGGTTACGTGAGCAACTATATCAGGAACTGCACCAAAGGCTTCCTGTGGGATGAAATAAACCACAAATTTGATTATTCTATTGATACAGGTTCCAGATAATATCAGCATGATGCATGTACACCTGTTTGGAGCCTACTTTGGTCTGGCAGTCTCCTCATGCTTCTCTGAGCCATCACCAAGGTCTGAGAAGAATGCGAGTACCCCGAAGTCAGACTTATTCTCCATGTTGGGTAAGGCATTTGCTTTAACATCTCGGTTAGAAGAAGAAGTTGAAGAGAGAACATAAGGCATGTTTCTGGGGGTTGGCCACAGCACGCTGAAGCTTTTGCATCCAAAGTGCAGGTCTGAATGCAGCCAAGCATAGAAACCTGCTGCTGCAGCTGCTGCTGTGTTTCGTGGTTTCTGACAATGAGTTGGTGAGTCTCAGCATGTTTCCTACCAGGCATATGAGCCACTTCTGCAGTGGCAGGAGCTTAGTTTGCTTTGTCAGTCTCAGCATAGGGGCTATGGCAGGTTAACTGTTCCCTCTCCCAGCTAAGTTGGCTCCTTTTGGGCTTTCAGAGGCATATTGGTAAGGACCTGTGCCCCAAAGTTGAGGTCATTACTTGTATTTCAGTACTGCTTACAGTTCCCAGCTGGGGCCAAGGCTCAGTTTTGTTTTGCAAGGTGCCATACAGAGATATAAAAAGGGAGTCCCTGCCTAGTAATGGAAATGAAAAGATAAAAGCCTGATGAAGGGTGAGGAATATGATACAGACAGGCAAACGAGAAAGGATCCGAGTGGTGATAGGCTGAATGTATGGGAGTTCTGTTCTTTTTCTTCAAGAAGCAATTTGGTTTTTTCATTATCATGACTTTGTTGTGTAACTGCCACCAACTGAACTAAGATCTTTCTGTGAAGGCCCACAGAGTCTAATTCTTGGTCAGTCTTTGCCCAGTTTAGGGAAAAAGAAACTTAAATGCTGCTCTTTTGAGTCTCTGAAGTTCTTGCTTTGCTGGAGAATTCGAGATCAGTATTTTAATCTAACTCATCAAGACACTGTTAAGCCTTCATTATAATTTTCGTGCAACTTGCTGCAACCATGTGCTTGTTATCTGGAGTAATTATATTGCCATGTCTTGAAAAATTCCTGAGGTAACCTTGGCAGAAAGGAGCAATTGAGCAGGCAAATTCTTTGTAGTTCCTTTTTGCATCCTGCTTCTGAGGGCTGCGTGAAGGGTGCTGAGGTCCTTCACCCACATTTGGACTCCTATTGTGACTCTTTTATTTCCATAGCTGAACAGATATTCATAAGAATGCTTTGGTGGCATTAGTAGATTGTTTTTTGGGTTTTTTTTTTAATGACTGACTGACTACCTAATCAATGGGAACAAGATTGTCATAGTGCAGCTCATTCCACGAGTCCTCACTGCTACTGTGAGTTTTGAATTGCCAAAATGGCCTCTTCTGTCTGAGAGGCATGGTTATCACTGCCTTGGTGCAGCAAAAAGGTGAAAATTAGCCATGGAAATTGGATTTCAAGGAGCCAAGATAAGCTGGTACAAAAGCAGCAGCTGCCAGGGTTGCTGGAAGGTGGGTTTAACTGTTGTGCTTTATAGTGACAATGCCCGTGTCACTTCTTAATTGACTTGAACAAGAACACTTCAAATTTTACTGTCAGGTGAATTGCACAAAGGTCTGGTACCTCTGTGGCATGGAGAGCAGAATATTAACTATGGAGGTTGACTGGACAGCAAAAAATAATGACTGGACAAGGCAAAAGAAACTGTTCTGGGTTGTGTAGTCAGACATCTGTGCACTTAGAGCTGTGCCTGACTCGGGAGCAGAGGCAGAGATTGAAACGTGCGCTCTGATTTAGTGCAAGGCCACCGACTTCCCTCTGCTGGCTGGAATTTGATCTCTGCGTGTGATTCCCTGTGCACAGACAAGATGTGTCCTGCCAGTAGTAAACGTGCTTTATAGAGGCTGAGGTTCCTCAATGCTGACAATTAGGGCCCAGGTCACAGAAGCAGGAGAACCTGTTTTCATTCCTGTTCTTATTGAAGCCTGTGTGGTCATAAAAGTTTTGACTCTGTGCAGTGACCTTACAGGAGGAAATTTTGGCCAAGGACATTGGAACAAGCCCCTGGTACCTGTGTGGAACAGGCAGGATGCTGATTGTTTGGGAATCAACAGTGGAATTGTTCCCACTTCTATCTGAACCTGTGTTTAAGGGGACAATAGATAGGGCAAAGCTGATGTTAAAGGTGCTCTTGAAAAGAGAACTCACTTCCACTCAGCGAAGGACGGGTCAGGTGCCAGCAGAGCTGTGCTGTGGCTCTATGTTTGCCATTACAGTCCTGTGTTTCTGGGAAGGTGTTGGTTTAGCAGGCAACTCTCAGGGCTGTCTGCATTGTGAATTGTTATCCTTTGTTTACAATGTGTGAATTATAGTGAATGCAGAATAGGGGCTGGAGCCCTCCAGAGAGAGCTGGTGATAGATTCACTGTGTCTGAGTGCAGGTACTGATAGCTGCTTGTCTTTGTCTCCAAGGTACTCTCTTTCTCTGGGTATTCTGGCCAAGCTTCAATTCTGTACTAGCTGTGAACAAGAGCAAAGCAATCTACAACACCTACTTCGCCCTCGCAGTCAGTGCTGTAACTGCCTTTGTGTTGTCTGTGCTGACTACAAAGGATGGAAAATTCAGCATGGTAAGACATGAGAGAAAACACTGTATGGAGAAGATATTTTTTCTGATACTCTCAATAATAGACTGAAAGTGTAATAGCTATTAAGTAAAAACACGTCCAGGTTTTCAGCCTGACAGTCATGGTAAGCCTCCCAAGCTGAAGCTGTAATTTAGAAATTCTGTTCTCAGATGGTAATTTACAGTATACAGAGGCCCAAATTCACCCTAAAGAGATTGCCCTTGCATGAGAATAGCAATCTCTGATATTAGGCTGCTGTAAGATAAGCAATGACTGAATTTTCACTCATGGTTTTTTGTTGTTGTATTTTACAGACTCACATCCACAGTGCAGTACTGGCTGGTGGGGTCACCATTGGTTATGCAGCACACAGTATCGAGTATCCTTGGATTGCAATGATTTTGGGTCTGCTTGCCAGTGTGATAGCTGTATTAGGATCTTACTGTTTACAGGTATTACTCAAAACCTGAAATTGTTTTTGTAGAAGCTGTCTAAACCTCTTTTCCAATGTAGGATACCTCAAGGGAAACCTCTCTATCAAAGCCAGGAAACCTGGAGTCTTTTTGAGCAGAGCACAGAATTGCAACTTGCAAGACCAAAGTTCATTTTCTAGGTCTGCCATAGAAAATACTCAATCATCAACTTGTGTTTCTGTGTATCAATTAAACCTTTTCTTCTCCCCAGAGATGCCTGAATCCTGCTCTCAAGATTCATGATGCCTCTGGAGTTCATTTCACTTTTGGCTTGCCTGGTGTGCTTGGAGCTCTTGCCCAGGTTGTTCTCTTAGTAATAAAAAACTGGACTAATTTACCAAGGTACATAAATTCTTGCTATTAAATAATAAGCTCAGCTAATAATTATTGTAGTATGCCTTGAGAAAAACTCTCATACATACAGAAAGCCTGAACATCATCACAATCAAATAATGTTATACCAGATAAGATAATCTCTGAAGTCCAAAAAAGTCAGTAAAAAAGACTTTCAGAGTTGAGCAGACTTTAGATCAAAACTTTAATATTAACTTTTGTTTTCTATCTCCCTTTTTATTTGGTGTTAAATGCAGCAGACATGGGAGACAAAGTCAGAGGGTGTGCATCCTTCCAAGACTCATTTTGGCCTTTGTGGTGTGTTTTGGGGAGCTTTGTATGCTAATATGAGATGGGGCAGAAATCAGCATTTCTCTTCACATGAGGCTTTAACTCAAGAATGCCAGTTTGGACTGAAGCCAGACTGGACACTGAACTGGAAAGCATACTTGGGGAGATACCCTGCAAAAGGTGAAGGGCTCAGTTAAGGATATTCTCCAGAGGTTGTTTTGATCTGGCACTGGCATCTCATTTTTGCAAATCAAAGTTGTATCATCCAAGAAGTTTTCTGATTTTCTCAATATACACAGGAATGAATCACAGCGCAACGGCCTTACACTTCTCGTCATATTCTTACTGAAACAAACAAATGCAATGAAATTTTAGTACCACAGTGATGGTTTCTGAAGGCAAAATATGTCCTCTGGTCTGTATTAGGCTTCTGGTAGGATCTTTTAAAACATCTAACTGCAGCTGCAGCAAGATTCAAGAATAACATGTTTTTTCTGAGAGGTTTTGATGTTAAATGTCTTAATGCTAAATTCAGCAACTGTAAAAGGTGAAACACTTGTTTTGCTTTTCAGTCTGGGTTATTTGGTCATGATTAACATTGCTGCCTTCTGCGTGACCATCAGTGTTGCCTTGATAACAGGTTTTATTACAGGTCAGTATTAAAAACCATGTTTTAGTAATATCTTCCTCATTTCCTTGGGGCAAGGGGTATCTCATCTTCCTGCACCTGCTGTCACATCAGTACAACCCTGTGCAGGAAGAGGCCAGTTTAACTGGGGCTCTGACATGTGTTCCTGTGGGTAAATTGTTTGTAGAAGCCATGGGAAACACAAATGCCAGGGACTTTTTAGAGCCAGTCTTTTGAAGAAGAGATGTATTCAACATCACTAACCTAGCAGCACCAGTCTTTCATTGGTGAAGTTTATTTTAACAGATGTTTAACAGCTGCCTTCAAATTTCAGACAGGAGATATGTGAGGATGAAAATATTTTTACGTTTGGATATTGTCTTAGTGAGAAAAATGCTGTCAAGAGCTTTTCACTTTTTAGGCCAGTTGGTATAAATCTGCAAAGTTTCACTAACGTCGGTAGCTTGCATCAGCCACGCTTTGATCACTAGTGGTTTGGATCATCAGGGCTCATGTGTTTCCCATGTGACATTCTGTTTTCTGGCAGCTGCTGTTTTTCTATAGCTTTTAACTCTGTCTCCAGTAAAAGAGACATGAAAAGATGAGAATTGCTGTGAAATATACTCTTAAAATGATTTTTTTTGTGCTTTAATTGATCTGAAACCTTTGCATCACCTTAAGTGTGATTAAGAAGTTGAACTAATCAAGCAGATTTTTAAAAAACATTCAGCTAAAATAACCAAGCATTCAGTGTTTAACCAATTGTTTAAAAATCTAGATGTTTGCATCTGAAATCCCAAGCTACCAGTAGTGATAAGCACAATTGTTTTAAATACACAGGCAATTTTTGTGCGAGAAGTTAATAATTTTTGATGTATTTTTAGAATCTGGCAGGCTGTTTAATGGGGTTTTACCTGGAGTAATTAATTTTTAATAACACAGGCCTTGATCCTGGCAAGCTTCTCTCTTTGTATTTAAGGTTAACTTAAGTCAAGGGGCTCTGCTGAAGCTTTTAGTTTTGAATGTGTATTTTGAATATTTGAATATTTGAATATTATGTGTATTTTGAATTTTAGTTCTGAATGTGTATTTTGAATGTGTAACATTTTCTATGTTACATTTGGATGTGTGTTAATAAAAAACCTGCAGTTACACACAATCTTCCCCTTTACCTGATGTATATATTTATATTTGATATATATATTTTTACAAATAGGTTTATTCTTAAACCTCAAGCTGTTTTAAGACCCCCTTTCTCTGATTTATATATTTATATTGGATATATATGTTTTTACAAATAGGTTTCATCTTAAACCGCAAAATCTTTAGGACCATCCCCGTATCAAAGTACTTTGAAGACCAGTTTTACTGGGAGGTGAGTTTCAATGTAAAATTAACTGTACAGGAGTATATATAGCACCTTGATGAAGAACTGTATTTGAATTAAAAAGGAAGGAGGACAGTTCCATGTCACAGCATGTTTTCAGTGCCTGGTTTGAAGCAGATGAGCTGTTCCCACAGCTGACCCTGAACATTGTAAATGCAGGAAGGGATTGTCGGAGCCGCTGAGGGCACGGGGCTAAATCTGAAATGATCTTGTTTGTTGCAACACGTAATCTTAGGTGCTCAGACATCCTCTGGGACTGACTGCCCTGACCTCTGTGCTTCACACACAGTCCCTGAGGAGACCTGAGCAGCATCTAAGTGAGAGATTTTTTGAAGCCAGTGAATGAAAGGTGCTTTTTATGAAAACAGACCAAAGCTTCATGGCCTTCATGGCTGCAGAGTGGCTATGCAGTCTGATGCACAAACACAGGCCTTGGGCACCTTTAGGTGCTGAACGTGATGCTGTTATCTGAATTACAGAAAAAAGAAATAATTAAAATAATCTAATAAGGTTTTCCAGTGTAATGATTTGATGCATAAAATGTTCTGATACAAGAATATTTGTCTTTACAGTTTCCCCGTTTGGCTGTTGGATTTTAAATGGAGGAACCCAGACAACAGATTTGACCAAGATAAGATTTTCCTGTTTGTCACTAGAGAAAATGAATAGCTATGATGAGCTGAAAGAGCACTTGCATATCAATTCTTAGGCTCAAAAAACCCGTCCCAATCAACACACAAAAAACTAGTAACAAACTATTCTAGTTACTCTTGAAAGTTAAGAGTATAAATTTACAGATGCAGACTTACAGTGCATTTAGCTTTTCTGCTTTGCTGGTCTTACCTTAAATATTGTTTTGTAGGATATGTACAAAAAAGTTGGCCTAATTCATTGCTGTAATTACTTCTTAATCAAAATTCTTGGATACTTTAAACTATTTTTACCTCTCAAGTTTAAAAGCCAAAATATGTATTTTAAAGTATAATTTTTCAGGAGTACCTACTCATTCTTATCCAGCAAAGCGTCAAAGTACTTGTTTTTAAGCTAAATTAATTCTGTTGAAAGCCTTGTTAAGCAAGGATTTGATGAGTGAGCTGGATCAGGGCCAGAACTCTGCATCTTGCCAGACTGAACTCAAAATCTAAGTTATCTGACTGCTTAAAGAAAAATCTATAATTACTTGGCTCAGGCTAGCTATTTGGAAGTTCAAATGGCAAGAAATTAAATTGTTCTGCTTGTGGATGGTGTCCCTGAAATCAATGGTATTACTCATATTTAGATTTGGCAGCAAACCTCAAAACAGCCTGTCTGTGTGGTGACATGGGGTCAGCTGCCCAAAAGGCTCTGGCTGCCCCAAGAGTGGGGACAGCTGGAATGGCTGAGGGTGTCAAGGCTGGGATCCCACCAAGATCTGGTGTCTTATATCGAGCTGTTTTACTCCGAGACAAGCAGGGGGTTTGGTGCATGAGCTCAGGCAGAGGATTCTGTGCAAACAAACCCTGGGTTTTAAATGAATTGTGATCCTCAGTGTTTTTTCTTTGTTTCAAAATAGGTGACATAGAAAAACTCTTTCAAAAATGCTTACATAATAAAGTAAAAATGTCATTGTTTTTATTTATTCAGCACACTTGCTTAAAAATGAAGTAATGAGGAAAATGTAACACTGAAGACAAGAGTTCTTTGATGCTCGCTGCAGTAATGCGTGCTGACCTCAATTCGTTCCTTAGGGATTAAGCAAAGTAGATCTCTAAGGTTAAAGAAATGTGAGACAGGTTTCAAGTAATGAACAACTACTTGCAGGGGAAAGGCCAGTTTTTCTTATTTCCAGGTCACAAAACAGCCACTGACAGTGATATCCAACCTGGATACACACTGAAATATTTGTAGTACCTCACAGTTACCACACTGCTACCTGTGTAATGGTATAATCCAGGCTCAACTCGTACACTTCACTTGCTTAACTTTCCAGCAACCAACCAAATTTAACTGCTTCTGCTGTTTTCTAGCAGGAGTGCTTTTAAGGAATAGAATTTTATTCCCTCTTTTTTCCCCACGTGTCTTTAATCATTGATTTCTTGAGCAGCTAGCCTAGGGGGGATGTATAAGAAAGGGCAGATACAGGATCAAAATTCTCCCTGGTAGTGTCTGTCCCTGTGATAAGAATACTCTGCCTTTGTTTTACAGTGCTTAGAAAATAGTTGACAGGGAACTTTGTGGATGAGCTGCTTCCATCTAGAGCCACTACCCAATTTGTATTTGTGCCTCTACAGCATCATCCACAGCAACAGTAAGTTGTTCCTCATTATCACCACAGGATAAATTACATATATTGTGCAACAAAAGCCACACACGAGTTAAGTTTTTAAACTGAAGAACTGGTTATATTGTCCAGATATAGGAAATATTTAATAAATATATGTTAAAAAGTAGGTTTAAAGCATTTTTAGTAGGTCTTGGATGGTAAATTACATCATAGAAACAGCTGGTTAAATACATCCATTTTCCACTATACTATTTACTTGTAGCAAACATCATATCATAAAAGTGACTGCCATGGTTACGTTTAGCAATTGTACAGTTGTCAAAAACATGATGACATTTAAATCAACATATGAGAGTAAAAAAAATTAGAGTAGAACCAGAATTTTTAGTGCTATGATTTAAGTTTTCCTTGTTTTATCTTTAGACACAATTGAGGGTTGTTTACAAAATAGTTTTACAAAATTTTGGGAGTGTGCAGTTAAAAAACCAGCATGGCCAATGCACTTCCACGGACGTGTTCATTGCCACAGATCTTCAGTCCGACCAAATTTGAAGACCAGTCCTCTGTTTAAAACAGAATAAAGGGACATGAGTACATAACAGAGCAAATCAAATACCAGTATTTTAAATAACATGATTTCAGGGAACAAGTTACAGTATTTGTAAATCCAGCTCCTGGTCCTGCCACAAAACCTGTGCAGGCAGAGCCTAGAGATCTACTGCCTTTCTCAGCAGAACTATTCACCTATTCACAATATTCAACTATATTTTGTAACTATTCACCCGTGTCTAGTTACAAAACAGGGCTTAAGAAAAAAACAGATTACAGCAAGTTTGGGTTTTAATCATTATAAACAAATTAGATAAGAAATAAACAAAGGAATGTAGTCTTACCCAAAAAAGATGAACGCATTCTGGAAAAAAACAGCTATTCCTGGGTATACTACTGGTTTTTCTAACAAAAGAAAGAATCTCCATAAATTTTTGAGAAGTAATTTTCAAGAATATCCCATCGCTGACATTTCAGAAACACTAAATCACACTATGTTGGCAAATATATTCAGTTTCATTTAAATATAAACATTTGGAGTCTAAGCACTGTGACAGTCCTAAGGAGCTGAGTTAGACAGAGGGCTCTAAGGACTTTTCATAAGGACAACTAATGACAAAACAAGGGGAAATGGGTTTAAACTGAAAGAGGGGAGGTTTAGATTAGACATTAGGAAGAAGTTTTTCACTGTGAGGGTGGTCAGACACTGGAACAGGTTGCCCAGAGAAGCTGTGGCTGCTCCTCCCTGGAAGTGTTCTCGGCCAGGCTGGATGAGGCTTTGAGCAACCTGGTCTAGTGGAAGGTGTCCCTGCTGATGGCAGGGGGGTTGGAACTGGATGAGCTTTAAGGTCCCTTCCAACCCAAACCATTCTATGATTCTGTGATTCTATGTAGGATTCCCAACCAGATACAGAGGTGAAGTGACAACAAACATTTACTGCTGTTTCTACTACCTAACAAGCCTAAGCCAGATTGTTCTTGCATGGAATTAAAGACACTACTGTGCAGCTCATAAACCCCTTTCATGCTCTGACAAGATGGTCCCCTCCCATCTCTGCTGCTCAGTTGTAACAGGGGACAAGCATAAGCCTTACCCCTGGCTGGAAAGTTAATTAAGTGGATTTTGTGCCCCACAGAATCATTTAGCTGTCCAAGTAAAAGAATTCTCTCCTGTTTTCTAACTCACAATGTGCATCTCAAATACAATGCTCATAAAGTGTTTAATTACCATATGGGATTGCACATCCTGCTTGGAATGTGTGTGTAAGTATACACATTATTCATATATAATGACAATATATAAAATGGGAGAGCACAGTAGTAGCACTACTGTGCAACTAATGCACTTTGATTTCCCTGAAAATCCCCTATGAATCAAGCAAAGCCAAAGCTGATGAGAATGTAAATTAAACAAAACCACGAGTGTGCCTTGACTGGTGTGAAATTCACTTCAGCTCCAGGTACAAGTAGTAGCTACACATTTACTTAAATGACCTAACTTTAAAAAAAAAAACAGAAGAGGGTAATACTGTAAAACAACACTGTTGTTTTCATGTCTTTCTCAAGATTTGCCTTCACAAAAAGTTACCGTGGTACATGTTAAGGTATGAATTTAAATAGGCAATTTAAATTCTTTTTTTTCCTTTTCACTAATTTAGCTTATAGGCTTTGGGAGCAATTTGCACAAAATCAGTCATTTTTATTCTGGGAATAAGTGTTCACTCAGGGCAGGGAATTATTCCCATGTAACTACAGCAGTTTCATTATGTCAGTACAGCTCCCAGGTAATCAGGACCTGTGTTTCTAATGAGGCTAGTTGGAAGCTTTGTGACTTCTGTAAGAAGATAAAATCCACCTCGATAGTAGTAGATAGTATGGAACAGTGGTGTGTAGAACACTGGAACTGGACCTGCCTAGAAACTATCTAAAAATAAGCTCTAAAGTTCAATAGTCATTTAAAATAATTTAAACTTTCAAAACCAGATCAGGTCACGTTCCCTACTGCATCTTACCTTTAACAACGTAGCCTCCAAAAAGGATCCACATGGAAGCAATGAGAGATCCAAAAGCCATCATAAACCCAATGAACAGCCAGATCCGAGCACCTTGAAAAACACACACGGATGTTTTGCGTCCGAGTGCGGACACTTGAGACTTTCAGCATGTTTTTGTTTCAGAGCATCTTTGTGCCACACCAGAGCTATGCACAGATACACAACGTGCACACTGGAACAGTTCTGAAAACTCTTCCAAGACTGAATGGCTTCACAGATCTATCGCTACGCGACAGCCTACGCCACGGTACCTGTTTGTCCTAAACAGCCCTCGCTGTAACTGTCACCCCGCACCTGGCCGTTAGACACCGCGTTGATCCTGCGTGAGGAACAAGGATAAAACTGGGTAAACAAAGATCAAGCAAGAAGTGTTTCCAAAACAACAGGAGAAACTTCTCAGAAACCTATATAAAAAGGATGATTTATTTCTTGTGGATTTTGGGTGGTTTTTTTTTTTCTTTTTAAAAGGGAACAAGAATAAAACTTAAAAAGCATTTCTCCAAAGACTTTACAATAAGACTTAGACCTCTATAACAAGTTTATTTAAAAAAAAAAAGTTTCCTTACTATAGATATCTAAAAATATAAGATATTAAGAGATAATCAGATAGTAACTTGATTTGTTATTCTTAGTTACCTCTCCATTTAAAGACTATGTGTTCTTTTATTAATGGCATAAAATAGGTTCTAAGAGTGTGTAGCTCTGATCAAGAAATTACACTTACATTAGGAAT